TTGTTTTAAATGAATTGAAAATATTGAATTAGTGAAAACAATAAGGTGTGATTCAATTGTTTGTTGGACTGAATCAGATTGGTCGTTCTAGCATTTTCCATATATGTCAATATAACGTTCTCAACGAATCTACTGCTTGTTGAATGAGACACATTTTTTTCGGGATGGACATCAAACATGAGAGTGGGACATATTTGAGAATAACATGTGATTCAAAACTATTTGCCCACAAGTAAACTGAATCTTCCGCCATTTCCGAAAAAATGCTACAGTTCAACAAAATAAAGTGGAATTCCGGCGATGAGTTTGAAATTATGATGTGTAGATGTGTTGCGCTGGAAAAGTATGAGAAATGAATTGATTCTTTTGGCCTGTACAAACGACTGAATTGACATAGAACTACTCTAAGCCATTCATTCATCTATTAGTAGTTGTGATTTCATGCATATCTTGGAAGGACTCAAATTAGAAGAATGTGTCAAGTTGACACTGTCAATGATTGTCGAGAATATTAAAAAAAAGGTGACATTCTACTGACGACTCGGAAAGGAAGGACTAAAACTGAACAAATTATTCGAAACTAATTCAAAGCAAACAATTGAGTGATGTGACTTACAAACAATATGCGCTAATCCACATTTGAGCTGAAACTTAAACATAATCACGTACAAACCCGACTAGAATCCAGAGTTGATTTTGTTAATTATTCAAAATCCAGTTGTTTCTTTCGGCAACTAAAAACATGGCTGCTATAGTAAACTGAGAAATAAAAGTCAACATTCTTCTCCCTTTTAGTTTTATTTTTATTTCTATTTAATTCGATTTTGTTTCATTCAAAAAGCGGAGTCTAGATCTAAATTGATGTTAATGAGTTGAATTATATGTATTAAAAAAATCCAAATTTTATTTTGGAAAATTGATTTCAAACTCAAGTATTTTTCGAATAAATCTATGGAATGGGTGACTTGTTATTTCTTCAAACGGTGAACTGTCTTCATGTGTCGATTGGCATTACTTTTCTTGACAAAGTTTGCTGCACACACTTTGCACTGAATCCGCTTTCCGGTGTGATCTTCTCGCATGTGAATCTTCAATTTGTCTTTGTCTCGACAATTCTTGTTACACAAATGGCATTGATACCGACGGTGGCCACAGTTATTTTCATGGGCATTTTTTGCATCTTCGGTTGCGTATCCTCCAAAGCATTTGGAGCATTGGAACGGGAATTGGTCACTGTGTGCTGATGACAAATGCTGATTCAATCTAATCTGATCGACGAATTGTCTGCTGCAAATTTCGCATCTGTTCGATTTTCGTTGACAGCGTCTTTCATGTGCTTGTTTATTATCTGGTGTTGCAAATCGTCGACCACATTTCGAACAAACATTCGGCAGGTCATCTTTGTGAGTGATTGAATGTGCTTGAAGATTAGAAGTTTGTGTAAATGACTTGAAACAGATTGAGCACACGAACGGCTTATACCCGGTGTGGGTCCGCATATGAACTGTCAAATATGATTTGTGCATCGTTCTATATTCGCAAATATCGCATTCGAACCGGAGAGCATTGCATAACGCTTCGTGGTCGACTTTGAATGATTCGTGTTCGAATCCTTGATTATCTTTTAAACAACGAAATTGGCCATGCGTTTTCTTATGACGGTTCAGGGTTTGTTTTTGTGCAAAGGACTTCAAACAAACATCACACTGAAACGGCTTCTCTCCAGTGTGAGTTCGCAAGTGTACTTTGAGGTTAGACTTGTTACGTGCCAAATGATTGCACACATGACATTTGTGCTTCTTTTGCTTTTTCGCCGCTTGATTCCTGGGAATCGTCCGTTTGTTTCCTCTTTTGGGGCTTCCATTTCGTTTCTTCCCGCTCCGCACAAGTTTTGGTGGTTGAACATCGATTGCGTCAACCATGGGCTCGTCGTTGTCATCATCATTGGCGGCGTCGCTTTCATTCAATCTTTCACATGGTGTCGAGTCCTTTTCTTTGGCCGTCTCTTCTTCTTCACATTTCATTTCATCTTTGATCTGATCGAAGTCATCAGCGAAATCGAACGGCCCTTCGTAATTCACACGATATCTTCCCCCAACTCTCAGCCGTGGCACATTAATGAGACTGCCATCGTCATTCGGTTCTTCCTTGATAATTGGCTCTTGCTTGACTTCGACTTTTGCGTACTTTGATTTGCGTTTCCTGCGTCCACCAGAAATACCTTTGAACGGGTTCATTTTCTGTTGGATTCGGGAAAACAATATCGAAAATCAATAATCAAAATTTTAAATCTTGATAATATAGAAAAGTGATTCAATCAATTGCAAACCACGGGCAGAGCGGTCAACGAGCGCTCGTTCGTTCGTTCGTATGCGAACATGTTCGTAGATTCTACGAACATGTTCGTTTGTTCGTTCGTTCGTTCGTTCCACGGGCTTGACACGTTTATGCAAAGAAAAAGAATACATGAAATGTGCACTCATCGCACATGCCCATAAGTTGGGTTATGTGTTATAAATTTTCTTGAGCCTCTATTGATTTTCAAGATTATTCAATTTTTTGGCCAAACCACAAGGTTGAATGCCCAAAAGTGACATCGGAATTAATGTTTGGTCCTAAAATAGTTGTTATTTGGACTGGTCAAATGAACTGCTGTAAAATATGTATATATTGTAAATGATTCTATGTATGACGTAAGCCACAACATAAAAGCGAAAATTCACACGCTTGCAAGTTTCGTTAAGTTCTCAACGACGCAAAATGACACTTCGCCACCATTGGTAGCTGTCAATTGTGCGGATTCAGAGCTCAATTCAAAAACGTCGGTTAAATTCATGCAACATTTTCTTCAACATTTTCTTCTTCAAATTCCAATTTCCAGTACGGCCACCGAAATGTTCTGAAACTAAACGTTTTGTTCTATTAAAATAGTGATCGTTCTGCTAATTACATTGAATTGGTGCAATTCAAAATTACACTTAAAGTCCTACCGCTATCACGTTTCTAACATCTACTGTCATCTGTCCAAAGTAAACGAGTTTTACTAAATATGCATCAATGTGTCCAAAACGCATAAATATCGCGCGATAATTTTCTGCTTGCGTTGCCGCAGTATACGATATTTCAATAGCCGTCTTACGACGCACGTTCGAATTGCTTTACACATATAACGAAGCGAACGCAAGCGAGCGTCGCAAGATGACGGCTATTGAAATATCGTATACTGCGGCAACGCAAGCAGAAAATTATCGCGCGATATTTATGCGATAACTGCCTTATGCGATGCCGTATTCATGCGTTTTGTACACATTGATATTCATTGAGTGGGGACAACGAAACCGGATGGGTGGCCGAAAATTGAAAGCCATATCACTGCGTTGTTTATGTTGTAATGTAAACAGATTTGTATTGCAGAATTATGCATGTCTCGCGAACACAACGAATACTATTGTATGTACTGACTCTATGTATTTGTTGAGATCAAGATGAACAAAGCAATTGAATGCGAATTTACTTCCGCATACTTTGGAGTGGTTAGAGAGCTTTTACGCAGCCGATAACGATTTCCAATATACAGCTGAAATTATAGAATATTTGAGATCACATATACTCCATCTGGATCTTTCTGGAAGCTATGTGGGGAAATTGAACGAAATTTCATTTGAAAGGTTCTGATCACTTAGATTGCTTAAGCTACAACGCACAAATTTATCGATTTCTGATGTTAAACCCTTTGAAACTTCGACGGCTGTGTTGCTTTACCTTGATATGTCCAACAACAATTTGATAAAATTGAATTTCTCTACAGCGTTAGTTTTCGTTAATTTAAAAGAAATAAATAATTTGAAAGTGCTTGTTTCCAATGACGCACTCCATGAGTAACCCTAATCTTGAATAAATAGATTGCTTAAAAATGATATTTGTTTTATTTTCGAAATTGTTTGCCGTTTGAAAACTGGAACAAAATCATTTTTTGATAAAACTAACCGAAATGCTTCTCATTTTGATGATATAGAACTGAAGAAGGAAATGTCAGAAGTGTGACGCAACAGGAAGCTGGTAAATTTTTTGATTTATCAAGTAAAAATTTCTCTTGGAATTGATAAACGAAAGCCTGGCTTACTAAATACAATTGAAATGTACAAAAGGGAACAATAAATGAGAATTTGCTTAGTTTCGATTTCATATTTGGTCCGAAGACGTTGAATTTTGTGTACTGTTACTGTTTGACACAATGAGATTTGTTATAGTTTTCATGGCGATTTTGATTTTGGCCAAAGTTGTGCATACTCGAGATGAATGTATTTTTCTTCCTATTCAAGAGTTAAATAAAGATAACCGTGAATTACGACACTTTTCTTGCGGCTTACCACGTTATGAATATGCTGACTGTAATTATTCTTCTGTGGAAGTGCTAAAAATTGAGAATTGCCCTGTCGAATCGATCGAGTCCAAATTTATTGGGTATCGAAATGTGAGCACGTTGGACTTTTCGTTTTCAGGATATACGACATTGGGCAACTTACATTTACCATTCGTCCATTTGAAGCTGTTTAATGTGTCTTACAACAAATTAACGGAAGTGCACAAGGATCTATTTTTCAATACAAAACAATTAACGGAAGTGGACTTTTCACACAATCAATTCGAAAAAATAGTTTCGGGTTTGTTTAGTGGGCTTTTCGATTTAGAAGAGCTCAATCTAAGTGATAATAAAATTAGATCGATTTATGTGGACACTTTTCCAAAGAATTCCAAATTAAAAACACTGAACCTAAAAAATAATCCTATTCAACGGATAGATTGTGGCATTACACACTTACTGAATGGCATAACTTCAATAAATGTGTCATTCGAAAAAGTTACTTACTTCGATTTATCTTGCGCGAACCCTATGGAATGGACAATGAATGAAGAAGAAATAATTTTTAAAAATGCAAACAGCAAAAATGAGCTCCGATATCCTAAGATGAACTTCAAAAATTTAGAAGTACTCTCGATCAGCGGAAATCGATTAGAAAACGCGCTAAACCTAGTAAACAGGTTGAGAAAATCGATTTGGGGATTGGATCTAAGTGGAAACATGTTAGGAAAGATAAATGAGACAACGTTTCATAGTTTGAACAATTTGGAAGATTTATATCTAAGTGAAACCAATCTCTCATTCGCTGCTGAATCTAATCCCTTCGAGCATCTTAACAATCTGAAGAGACTCGATATTTCCTACAACAATTTAACATCACTGAATATCAGTTTACTTTCAAAAACTTTGAGTAATTTGAAAGAGTTCCGAGCGGCTGGAAATCACTTTGACAACGGTCTAGGAATCATACACAGTCTCGGATCAAATCTACGGGTATTGGACATTTCTCAGAATATCATCGGAACATTGAATCTCAGTACATTCGAACGTTTTGGGCCTTTGTTTTGGTTAAATTTGTCAGACACACATTTGGAACATTTCGATGTGAATCCACTGAAAGTGTTCTTTTTAGACATTTCACGAAACAAATTGAAGCGATTGAATGTGGATTTACTATCGCATACTTTGAGAAGGTTACAATACTTTCACGCATCCGATAACGATTTCGAAAATACTACTGAAATCATACAACATTTGGGATCACATCTAGAATATCTGGATCTTTCTGGAAATTATGTGGGAAAATTGAACGAAACTACATTTGAACTAACCTGGTATATTAAATGGCTGTCGCTTAGACGCACCAATTTATCGATTTCTGATGTTAAACCTTTTGAAACTATGCGGTTTCGGTTGGACTACCTAGATATTTCGAAAAATAACTTGAAAAAATTAAATTTCTCTACTTCGATTGTTTTTCGGACCTTAGAAGAAATTAACTTGAGTGAAAACCATCTTACCCAACTGGACGGTCTCAATAAGCACTCTTATCCAAAACTCGCCAAACTGGATATTACAAATAATAAGTTGAATTGCACCGATCTAATCATGTTCAGAAGAGAATGGTACGGACTAGAGATAATCGGAGGTCCGTGCACTGCAATTGAAAACAATGAAACTCAAAGGCAAACTGACACAGAGAGCAGCACACCATATCTTAACAAACCGAAGAGACTCGATATTTCCTACAATTCTTTTACATCACTGAATATCAGTTTACTTTCAAAAAATTTAAGTAATTTGGAAGAGTTCCGAGCGGCTGGAAATCACATTAATAACGGTCTAGGAATCATACACAGTCTCGGATCAAATCTATGGATATTGGACCTTTCGCAAAATTTCATCGGAAAATTGAATCTCAGTACATTCGAACGTTTTGGGACTTTGAAGTTGCTAAATTTGTCAGACACACATTTGGAACATTTCGATGTGAATCCACTCAAAGTTCTCTATTTAGACATTTCACGAAACAAATTGAAGCGACTGAATGTCAGTGTACTGTCGGATACTTTGAATGGATTATGGAACTTTCAAGCAGCCGATAACGATTTCGAAAATACTACTGAAATCATACAACATTTGGGATCACATCTAGAATATCTGGATCTTTCTGGAAATTATGTGGGAAAATTGAACGAAACTACATTTGAACGAACCTGGTGTATTGAATGGCTGTCGCTTAGACGCACCAATTTATCGATTTCTGATGTTAAGCCTTTTGAAACTATGCGGTTACACTACCTAGATATTTCGAAAAACAACTTGAAAAAATTAAATTTCTTTACTTCGATTGTTTTTGAGACCTTAAAAGAAATTAACTTGAGTGAAAACCATCTTACAAAATTGGAAGGTCTTTCTAAGCAATCATATCCAAGACTCACCAAACTGGATATTAGAAATAATAACTTGAATTGCACCGATCTATTCATGTTCAGAGAATGGAACAGACTAGAGATAATCGGAGATCCGTGCACTGAAATCGAAAACAATGAAACTCAAAGCCAAACTGACACAGAGAGCAGCACACCATGGTACGGAAGAGCATATTTTATTTATGGATCATTGGCATTGGTAATTTGTTTGATTTCATGCGCTTTGGCTGTCTATTGTTTCCGAAAACGTCGTAAAAGAGCTGGCTTGACCAATTTCGAAACTGGTGATGTCGATGGTCTTAACCCCCAATGCCCATTGAATGTACAGGCTGATCTGCTTCCGTACGATAGGAAATATGAGTTTCCACGCAACAAGCTTAAGCTTGGAAAACAACTTGGCGCCGGAGCTTTTGGAATTGTTTACGAAGCGATGGCACAGGGAATCGTTGATGGTGAGGAGGAGACAAGAGTTGCCGTCAAAATGGTGAAGAATATCGCCAGCAACGAGGTTGGTCAATGGTCATTTAAATATATTCCATTCATTATCAACTGAATCAATTCAATAGGTGATGCGAGCATTTGAATCAGAGTTAAAAATCATGGTTCATTTGGGTCAACATTTGAATGTAGTCAACCTACTCGGTGCGGTTACTAAGGAAATCACAAAATGTGAGCTATGTTTTGCATTGGAACTTGATAGTTTTATCGTTTGAATATATTGATGACAAAATCTAACCAATTTTTCTTTTCGACTTCACTTTGGTAACAGTCAATCTGATGATCATCGTTGAATACTGTCCGTTTGGTAATCTTCAGAGCTTTTTGGCGAAAAATCGTCAACATTTTGTCGATCAAATTATACCAGGCACCGATGAAATTGATGTTAACATAGCTCCAATGGACATATCGACTCATTCTAATCGTCCATCATTGAATCAAGGAAGTAAGCCTTAGCTTCTGGTTTTTGTTTTGAAAATGTACTTCTTGCTCAGCTGAATTGTCCTTTTTTTCATTCAGCCAGTGGTTTTGTGGGCATGGTAGATGTGGATTCATCAGCTGCTCCATCGCATTCGATTGCAACAAAGGATTTACTCATCTGGTCATTCCAAATTGCGCGCGGAATGGATTATTTGGCCTCTCGAAAGGTGATACATGGGGATTTGGCGGCGCGGAACGTTTTGCTGTGCGATGATAATGTGGTGAAAATTTGTGACTTCGGTTTGGCCCGATCATTGTACAAAAACGAGAATTATCACATGAAAACCTCGGTAAGATTCGATCGCGATGTGAACATACACGCAATAATGTTTCCTTAATAACGAATTATTCCCTCCAAAATTGCTAGCGTGAGTTGCCATTCAAGTGACTGGCATTGGAGTTGATAAATGATCGTGTGTTTAGCACATTTAGACTGGTTTTTTTTTCGACCTTTTTCGAATTTTACGTCACCAAATAGCTTAATCGTTGCAGAATTATACAAAAAGAAAATTCCAACAAAAAACTACCCTAAAACCTGGGATTGGGACCTGGCGCCCGAGCTATAATTATTCAAATAGCCAAAAATCGCCATTTTTGGCATTTTAAGGTCTTTTTCCTTAACTTTACCGCATGTTTTAGTATATTTTCCACCTTGTGGTCAAAGAACATAACATATACAGTCATGGAAATTTAATTAGGACCGGCATTGAAATTTCAGTTTTTTCCCATTAATTCTGTTATTTTACAAAAAAATATTCATGAAATGATGTTTATGAGAATATTTGAAGTTTTTAAAAATGGACGAGACTATCAATTTCATTATTTTCGGTAATGGATATCATTTATTGATGAAATTGCCCAAAAACTGCGGGAAAAATAATTAAGACCTTCCATACAAAAAATGACAAAATTTTTCGAAAAATCGGAAAATTTATCATTTGCTTGACAAAATACACTCCACCGATGGTCGTATTTAATTGAAATACATTTTTTCCACATTACCATTTAATAGATTTCAAATTTCTTAACAAATTCGAAGAGTTACAGACCAAACTATGATTCTTCCACGATTTTTCATACAAAAAATGCTATAAAGTTTAGTTTGGTCTGTAACTTTTCGAATTTGTTAAGAAATTTGAATTCTATTAAATGCAGAGAATGTATTTGGCTAATGTCAGCTAGCTAACTGAAAACATTCGACAATATTGTAGGGGAGGTACCCGTAAATCGCTTCTGATTGACTTCAAATTTTCTGAGGTTTCATTTTTTAGAGAAAAAATGAGATTCTGAAAGTTTCATGTTGATTGCAATTGCGCAAGTTTGGTTTTTGTTCCTCAATTGTTTTCGAAAGGTTCTTGTACTTTCTATTTGGTTATACCGCTTCAATGAAGATTCCCACAAAAAAAATAAACATATTTAGACCGTATAGCACTTAAATTCTTCGTTTGACATCCCTCTATGAGATTATAGA